TATTTTCTTCTTGTTGCCATATAAATTATTGGGTTTGTTCTTTTCTTTCTTTCAGAAAAGAATGGCATCTGGGTTTCAAAACGTACCAAATGAATCACATCACCTGCAACTATTTTGATCCCTTCTTTATATACACACGCACACATATGTATATATATATATATATATATATTGTGAAGTTCAAGTACATACTTACATACATACATACATATATAATTGGATGTGACTCCACTTTTGATCCTATAACTTGTCACTTCTCTCCATCATTTCCTTGAAATTGACCCTCACCATTGAATTCTTCTGCTCCTATCTTTTTATTTGCCACTTGAGGGGTCAGTCAAGCACCATTTTTTTGATTTTGATTGATTTATTTCTTCTACAAATTACACACACAACAAACCCACCTCATGCATACACATATACATACACATGCACAAACATTGATGTATATGATTCAGAATTGGGTATGACATGATCATAATAAACACTTCCTTAAACTACAATTCTTTTTAACTAATTTTCTTTTCTTTCTTCAACCAAAAAAAAAAAAAACAAAACCCAATTATAATTTAATCAAACCCAAAAAGAGTTACACGAAGAAACTGGAAATATATATATATATATATAAATATGAATGTTCATATTTTCTGTGTGTCATAATAATGATAATGATAGAAGCATATTAGCTTAGGCCTTTATAAGGTACTTCAGAAAACTATAGCATATAAAATCTAGAGTTTCCACATATTATCCCCAATGTGGATCACCACATACATATACATATACATATACATATACATACACATATATGTATATGTATGATTGTCTTAGTCAAAGATTTATGGTGGGAGTGGACCCTGGATAAATAACAGAGACCATCTACAGAAGAAGGGGTCCTTATCCCCTTCACTCCCTGAACTGCCATATGTCATCCATGTTCCAGAAAGCATCTGCCATGTCATCGTCAATCACCCAACCACCGTCTGCCATCTGGCACTCCGTTGGCGCCAAAACCTCATAATTCCCTGTTGCTGCTGACATGGCATACCCCTGTTCCATCTCGTAGTAATTATTACCTTCTTCTCCGACCTGACTGTAATTGTTGCCGTAGACATTGCTGTAATCGAATTGTTGACACCCCAGATACTGCTGAAGAAACTGTTCATCACTCTGAACTGAACTCAAATTCGAATCTTCAATTTGATGATTTGAATTCTCCGTCATGATTTTTGGCGAGGAGATTGACGAGGAAGCGATTGAAGATGAATTATCGGAAGGAAAATTAGGGAAAGATGAAGAGGATTGATGAGAACTAGGGAAAGATAGCTCTATTTTTGTCGAAGAAGACGAAGACGAAGACGTCTGTTCCATTTTCTGAATCAATCTCGGCATCCAGAAACATCGAACAGCATCGAGAAATCTCTTGCTGTCCGACTCGATATTCAGCTGACGAGCCTGTTTTTGAACCCTAGTTCTCCAGTAATTCTTAATCTCATTATCTGTTCTTCCCGGTAGATGCTGTGCAATTTTTGACCACCTGAGAATGAATTTTCCCCATCAAAAATCTTTAAAACTGTGTTCTGTAATTCTTATACACACACACAGACACACATATATATATATACATATACATTATCTGTACTTATAATTATACCTGTTACCCCATTTTGAATGGAGTTCGAGGATCAAGAGCTGCTCTTGCGGAGTAAGATTTCCTCGCTTAATATCTGGTTTCAGATAATTCAGCCATCGCAGTCTGCAACTCTTTCCGGTCCTCTTCAACCCTACAAGTCAATTCAAATTAGAGTAATCATCGATTCGTTGGAGAACATATACACACACACACACACACATATATATACATTATGTGTATGTATAATTATGAATCTGATTATTTGAATGATTCGGATTAAGTATAGAATTTTTACCGGCGCATTTGGCTAACATATTCCAGCGACCTTCACCATGGCGAGAAATGTAATGAGTGAGCAGAGTGTCTTCTTCAAGAGTCCATGGACCTCTCCGCAGCTGATCACTGCTACTGTCTTCTTCATTAGAAATGAACTCCATCTTTACATTGCTACTGGTAGTCTGATCAGCTGCTGCACTTCTCATCATTTTTCCGTTAATGGTTTGTTTGGTGGGTTGTAATGGCGGAAAGGGTTTGAAGTAAATTGAAGGTGGAGAGAATTGATGAGGAAAACAAGATTTATAGGGTGTCCCAAACAAGGTCCAAAGTGGAAATAGGAAAGTAGAAAAAGGGAAGCCAGTTGGAGTTTCCCCTCATGCTATCTCCCTTGCCCTATATATACACACACACACACACATGTATGTATATGTGTGTGTGTATATATATATATATATATATATATATGCAGTTCATGAGAATGGAATTTCATGGTATTGGGTTTGTGTTATTTATTCCACAATTTGCTTCTCTAACTCATGATATCTCCCTGCTTAGGTGGCAAACCTATAGATATGCCCTACTTTATCACTCCCTCTATATACATACCTACAACATTAGTCATACAATAATGAAATGTCATTATAGTTAAATTTCATTTTATTTTTTTATAAAATTTTCTTAAGATTATTATCATTAGGGTATTTTTTTTTTTTGTGTGGTCATTTAAAACATTTTAAAATTAAAATTTTAATATATATATTAAAAAATCAATCATATTTAAGAGTTATGTACTCTTCGAATATCTAATAATTATATATTTTATATGAAACAATTATAAATAATACGGTTTGATAAATTTGTAAGAGTAATAATAAATATGTCATATTTTTTTCGTTAAATACTCAGAAATAAAAGAGTTACAGTTTTACTTGATGACATTGTCGTAATAAAAAATAATAAAAAATTACAACGAACGTTAAAATAAAACATAATCAAAGAATTTAAAGTCAAAAAATTATTTTTAACGTGGTATTACATATAGAATATAGAAATTAAAATAACAAAAAAGAAGTATTTTAATATTGTGATAAATACATGTTAAATATAGATAGAGTTGTATGTATATGTATGTATATATATATATATATATTTCAAAGATTTTTGGATCAAAATTATGATTAAGCTCAAAATCAAATTAGAGAAATGTAAGATTTTTCAATATATAGCTGGAAAACAGTGATGATACAAGTGATGGGGGACTAGAAATTGCAACATTCAAAGTATTTTCTTAATAATCAAATCAAGAAAGGAGAAGCAAAATCAGTCGAAACAAAAGTGGGTCCTGTTCCTTTTTTTTATATCTATAGACTGTGGATACACGTATGTAATATGTAAGACTGGTTTAGGAGATACCCTTGAATTACTGTAACAACACCCATCTGATTATATATATATATATATACATATAGATATATATTATATATTATATGTAGCACATGTATATGTATAAGATAAGGAAACTTAAAAAAGCCTATGGACCAGGAAGAAAGACATGGTTGAAACCGAAATCTCAAGTGTTTCATATTAGGATTCATATAATTAATTAATTTTTATATAATATATTGTGTTTAAATTCTTCTAGATAGATTCACTTTTACAGAAACGTGCTTGACTAAACAAAATATATTATTTGAATTATTAATTAATTAATTATTATATGCATCTAAATGTGGAATTTTGTATTTTATAAGTTGCAAATCAAATAAAAAATGTGGATTTAAAAATGTTATTTAGAAAAAGTTTTTAGGGTCTAAGGGTTTGATAATTACGAGATAATCTTAAAGTGATTACGAGACATTTGTACAATTTATCATTTTATAAATATATTATACGTTAATGATATTTAACTTATAATTACTGATTCAGTTAAATAAATAAATTAATTCGTTAATATGTTGATAATATTATAATGATCAAATTTAATCGAGTCTCAACAAATTTATTACGTTTTATTAATTGAGGTAGCCGTAATAAATTAAATATGCGATCTAACTTTTAAAAAAAATTAAGATAATATGTTAGTACTATTTTTATGTTATGTTATAGTTTATTTTTTAATTTTTTTTAATTAGTTATAAGTAGAATTTAATCCATAATATATATATATATATATGATAAATCGACTTCATTCATATTTTTTATCCGGTATTGATAATTTCTTTTTATATTTATTAATTAAAGAATTATGACATAATTAACTTAAATTAAATATAAAATTGAATTAATTAAAATTATTGAATTATTAATATTTTATTGTATAAAAACTAAAATTTCAATCAAACTACTCGTATATATATATATATATAAATATAAAATATATTACATAATCATATTCGATGTCTTTATTAGTTATATAATCTTGTCTCTCAAGATCCATAATCATGTATATAATAGTTTATAAATATACACACACATATATATATATATATTATACATGTGCACATACACAGACACACACACACACACATATATATATATATATATATATATGTTAAGAGAGGGAAACCAAAATCCTTAAAAATGACAGTGCAGCTAAATTTGACTACATCATACTGTGTTAAGTTCCAATGTATGTCATTAGGTCATAATTTAATATATTTTTTAATTAATTTTTCTAGAAGTAATTAATTATTATTAATTTTGTATAAAAAGAAATTGTGAGAAACAGTCATATTAATTAATTTCTAATTTATTTTTTTCTTTTTTCTCAATTGGGTATTGGATTAATAATTTGAAAATTAAATTTTTAATTAATATATAAGTGTACTTATATTATTAATAAATTAAACATTATTTTAAATTAATTTTTTTTTTTAGTCATGACCTTCGAAATGAAGTTCATGCTGAAGATAATTGGAGTTTGTACGTCTTTCTACTTTTATATTTTCCATTAATGTATAATGTGTTTTGTGCATGCATGTAAATGTGAATTTGAAGTACCATATATATATATATATATAAATGATTGCATGTATTTATATAATGTATGTATACAATGTAACATTTTTATTATTATTATTTTTTTAAAATGAACTAATTGATCGTCCATAGGAGGAGTCTCAAATTGAGACGAAATGAATCTACTACTAAATTTAGAAATACAATTAATTCGTAGAAAAAAAATAAATAATTAAACTCTATATTTTAACAAGGCAAGCTACCTATATAATTTATATTATATATATATATATATGTATATGCTGCATGTGGAACTGTAGAAATAAGTGGAGTCTTGAACTTTTTTCTTTTGGTCTAAATAAATTAGGTGATGGGGGCAAAAAGAAATTCAAAGATGTAGTGATAAAAATTATATATTTT